CCCCCCGTCTCTTACTAACTACCTCTTCTCCCCCCTCCCCACTAGCTCCGCAATGATCGAGGAGTTCGACTTGGACCAGGACGGCGAAATTAACGAACAGGAATTCTTCGCTATCATGTCCGACGAATTGTAGTCTCCCTGCCTCCCCTTCCTTCCTTTGTTCCTTTATTTCTCTTTGTATGTGCATGGAAATGGCTTGGAGGTCCTCAAAAAACAAATTAATCAAAATGTCAAGTATATATATATATTTATATAGCACCATTTTTATCATCTCTTCATCCATCAATGAGAAAACAATAATCTCGAACACCTCGTCCTGCAGTTAATTCATGTATCTCCTGCCATATATGTGTGTGTGTGCGGGTGTTTTGTTGATATAGTTATTTTCAAAATTGATTTATCCATAGAGAACAAAACAGAGCTGCCAAAGAAAATGACTTTGACATTTCTTTCCGAAGGTTTCTTGAACAGGGAGCAAGCATGAGGGGTTGTGCGTATAGTGTTAGGAGAGGAAGGAGCAAACATGAGGTGCACGGGAGGCAGCCGGACGATGACTGGAAGCGGCTCTGGGAGATGTGTGTGTGTGTGAAAAGCATGGCCATTCGATCGGCTGTCATCCCCTCGCCCTCCGGTTCTTTCGTTGCCCCGCGTCTCTCTTCTACCATGGCTCGCTTGTTTTATGCATTTATAATGTACGGCCCGCAGATCGCTCACCCTCCTGTCCCAACCAATCCTTTACACATTCTTTCCGTCTTTTTTTTGGGGGGGGGGGGGTACATCCGTGTAGATATGCACAATCTACGATCAAGTCGAAATGGATAGATTACACATCCGGATCTTGGATTGTGTCGAGAGAAGAAGAACCTGCAGGGATATTGATGGTCTCAATCAAACGGGGAAAAAAGATAGACTCTGAGCGTAGATGCATTCTACCATATACTGCTGATAATCGACCTGTTCATGTTCATTTCATTTTTTCTTTTTTTTGGTATGGCCTAAGTGTTAAGGTACTTCGTCTTCCTCATCCTCGTCGCCCGCTTCTAAATTGATGGTGTCTACAGGCGAGACAGGCGGCAGATTAGCGGGGGGAATCCATGAACAGAAAAAAAAAAAAGAGGTAAATTGAAATAAGAGTGGTAGAAATTCAGGGTTTTTTCAAAGAAAGACTTAACTGCCGAATTTAGAGTATAATTTTTTCTTCAGTACCGACATCTGGTTGCCCAACAGATCCATGGTGGAGTTGAGCTTGGCGATCTCATCCTTCGACTTGGCCAGGTTTTCGGCCAGCTTGACTTCCTGGAACCGTGACCGCTGGATGTGGATATACGAGGTGTCTAGTTTGTATCTGTGGCGGTCCATCATCATCATCATGATGTATGCGAGTGGTGTAAACGAGGCACGCCAGTCGCAGCCCGACGGACAGGCAGAAGGAGCAACACTATCAGCTAACGCTCAAAAGAGGGAATAGAGGAGGCAATGCAATGAGACGGACAAGATGAGGTCATTTTCCTGGCCGCCATCCAGGCCGTCGGGCTCCTCGTCGACGTCGAAGCTGCCCAACAACAGCTCGTTCTCCAGCTCCACCAGATCGTCATGCTCCAGCGTCTTGCTCTTTAGCTGCTTCTTGACCCGCATTCGTTGCATGTTCAGGTTCGAAAACTCGTTGATCATCTTCTGGTCCCCCATCGTCACCTCCTTCTCCCCCTCCTCTCCCCCCGCTCCAGTGCTCGCTTCTAACTAAAAATGTTCGTGTTTTGTTTTTTTCCGGGTCATTGGAAGGCTGCTTTTAACTGCGCGGACAGGGCGTGAAGAAGAGCTTACCATCTGCATGGTTATCCACCGCCGTGCTGGTCACTAATTGTCTGCGCGCTCACGATATATTTAATTCCGAATATTTTGTAAGCACTTTCTTTTTTTTTTGTGGCTGCAAGAAAATTGATGCTGGTGCCCAGGCTGGGATGGGGAAGGCGGGGTCCCCCCGGGAGCCACCCCCGTAAACGCCCTCTCTCTTTCTCTCCCACAGCCCCGTCGGCAACAGTGTGCTGCTGGCGAGTCAGCCCAGCTTGCTTTCATCGATCCGCCCCTCGACCTTCCTCGACAGTCCGGAAGCTCTCCAAAGCAAAGCCGCATTACATGCTTCTACTTCCTCGTCACGCGAGCCTGCAGGTCAATCCAGAGCAGAATGTATTCATGTGCAGCAATATGCTACACATTGTATATTTATTCAAGCGGCGGTCAATGTCGGCCCGTTTAGCATAGTCGTTATTGCGCGGCACTTGTATCGTGTCGAGTGGATTAGCCACTTCATGTCATGCCGAGGTCGCTAGTTCAAATCTGGCAACGGGCAGCACCTTTTGGATCTCGGGAAGTGGCTCGTTGTGTCCCTGATGTAATGCGCAAAGTGCGAAATCACGACCGAGATCATCTCCCCTTGGAGAGCTAGCTCCCGTGCTGCAAGCTTGCGCTAGCTCCTCTCGCAGCATTTTGCCTCCCGCATTGCCACCCAACAAAACAAGACATTCAAAGACTCTTGGCTATTGGTGAGGAAGGAGGATTTCCTGGCATGCTAGAATCTCTTGACTGCATGCATTGGGAGTGGAAGAACTGCCCAACAGCATGGGCTGGGCAGTACACAGGAAAAGAAAATGGTTCGTGTTTTTCTTTTTGTTTCTTATTTATAATCTCAGAGTTTTTTTACTGATTACATTTTCTTGATAGGCTCCAACCCTAGTACTTGAAGCCGTCACATCCTACAACCTCTGGTTTTGGCACACGTTCTTTAGGCTACCCGGGTCGCACAATGATATCCATTCTTGGCCACTCTCCAATATTCAAAAACCTGTTGAATGGAATTGCACCCAACTGCAAATACACAATCAATGGCAACACATTTAGCCAGGGAGATTTCCTTGCTGATGGGATATATCCTGATTTGTCCTGGTAAATATTATCTCAGAGCCTCAAGGCCTCAATAGAAAAGTAAGTTTTTTCCTTTTTTTTTCTTCATAAAACTAATGACCCACCACATCTAGCACTTTTCAAAAAGGCAGGAGGCCTGCCGTAAAGATTTCAAGAGGGTCTTTCATGGTTTACAAGCGCAATTTGCTATTGTGTCGAGGCCGGTGTGTGGTTGGACTCCCCATAATCTAAAGGCCATCATGACATGTTGTGTCATAATGCACAACATGATCATTGAGAACAAAAGGAATACATCTTCAGCGGAACTAAACAATGAATATACAACATTGGCAGTGGTAACCAATAATGAAAATAAGATACTGGAGTTTTACTACCATGGGAGTTAGACACAACAAGAGGAGTGCTAACAACGAGAAAAAAGAGCAAACATGTAGGCAACACGGAGGAGATGGAATGGATGAGTGAGACACAGAGATTGAAATGATGAGAAAATCAGATCATTTATTTCTAACCTGGAGTTTTCCAACGACGGGAGTTAGACACAACAAGAGGAGTGCTAACAACAAGCAAACAGAGCGAACCTGAGAGAAGGGAGAGAGAAAAGTGAGAGGGAGAAGAGAGTGAAAGAAGAGAAAAAAGAGAATCCAACCTGTGGGCAACACGGAGGAGATGGAATGGACAAGCGAGACACAGTGATTGAAATGATGAGAAAATCAGATGAAGAAAAAGAGAAACCACAAGGTGTGTAGATCTTAAACTATATAAATCTGGATTTTACCCATTAGGTTTCAGACCTTGTC